ATTGGTTTGCACAGAATCAGATACAATTGAGAGACTGAACTGACTGAATTGTTTAAAGCAGCTATCATAAAAATGAGGAACATGCTGGAAATAAATGGAGAAAAAGTCTCAACAAAGAACAGGAGATACAAAGAAGAACTAAAATGAAATTTTATTTTAAATTTTATTTATTAATAAAATTGGGGGGGGGGTGCTGTGCCACATGTTCTTAGTTCTCCAACCAGGGATTGAACCAGTGAGTTCAGCAGTAAATATGCAGAGTCCTAACCAGCGGCCCACCAAGGAATTCCCTAAAATGAGATTTTAGAACAAAAAAATGCAATACCAAAATTGAAAACTCAAAGAGTGAGTTCAGTGGAAGAATGGAGAGGACAGAGTAGAGTCAATAAATTCAAATGCAGAATAGAAATGATCTAGTCTGTTCAACAAAGAGAAAATACACTGCAAAAACAAAACAAAAATGCAAAGCATATCCTTAGGGCCTTGTTGGACTGTAACAAAAGATATAACATTTATGCCATTGGGGGGTGGATCTCAGAAACAAAGGATAAAGACAGTTATATTGAAAAAATATTTGAAAAAATAATGATTGGTAGTATCTCAAATTCAGCATAAGACATAAAGCTATCAGTTCAAGAGGCTTAGCAAATCCCAAACAAGTCAAGCCCCATAGAAGATGAGCCACAGTAAAACTTTCAGAAACTAAAACAAAATATTATTTTTAACATATCCCATGAAAAATAACACTTTGCCTGCAGGAGAAAAACAATTTGAATGAAATCAGATATCTCCTCCAAAACCATGGAGTCCTGAAACAAGTGGCAAATTTTTCAAGTGCTAAAGTAGAGAACTGTCAACTCAGAATTCTCTCACCAGCAAAAATATACTTCAGAAATAAAAAGAAAATCAAACTATTCTCAGATGAAGGAAAAATAAGAGAGTTTATTTCCATCAGGAAGGAACAAAGAACAAATGCATGTGGAAATATAACAAACTTTCATTCTCATCTTTTGTTTTCTAAATTATTTTGATTGTTGAAGCAAAACTTATCATCTGATGTGGCTCTCAATATATGTAGAAGAAATAATGAAGGCAGTTATACTATAAATGGGGAGAGTGAATGGATTTAAAGAGAGGCAAGGTTTCTACACTTAGCTTATAATGGTAACATGTTGAAATTAGTAGACTGTGACAAGTTTGCCATATAAAGTGTAACATCCCAAATAACCACTAAAATGCTATACAAATAAACTAAAATATATTATACTAAGTCAAAATGCAATTCTAAAAAGTGCAAAATAACCCACTGTAAGGCAGGAAAAAGTAAACAGAAACTAAAAACAGAAAAATCAAACAGAAAACAAAACAAAACCAAAAAGTAGTAGAATGTATCCTGATTCATACATAGGTAAATTAAATGTAAATGGTCTAAATGCATCAAACAATGTAGATTAATAGTGTGGATTAAAAAAGAGACACAGATGTACAGAACAGAATTTTGGACTCTGTGGGAGAAGGCGAGGGTGGGATGCTTCGAGAGAACAGCATCGAAACATGTATATTATCTAGGGTGAAACAGATCACCAGTCCAGGTTGGATGCATGAGACAAGCGCTCGGGCCTGGTGCACTGGGAAGACCCAGAAGAATCCTGTGGAGAGGGAGGTGGGAGGGGGTATTGGGATGGGGAATACATGTAAATCCATGGCTGATTCATGTAAATGTATGACAAAACCACTACAATATTGTAAAGTAATTAGCCTCCAACTAATAAAAATAAATGAAAAAAATGATTCAACTATATACATAGTCTATAAGAAAGTCACCTTGAATGTAATAATATAGGTTAGTTGAAAGTAAAAGAAAAAGAAAAAATATATGCCATGAAAACATGAACCAAACAAAAGAAGAAGGGGCTCTATTCAAATGAAATAAAGTAGACATGAGAGCAAAGAAAATTGCCAGGGACGGAGAGACAGAAGAAACATCACTTAAGGAGAAAAGTGCCAATCCATTAAGAAATTATAGCAATTCCAACAACATAATTCTAAAATGTATTAACCAAAAACTAACAGAACTGAAAGGAGAAATAGACAAATCAAAAATTATAGTTAGAAACTATAACATCCCTTTAACAACATTTTATAGAAAAAAAGAAAATTGGCTTGGTCAGTATTTGAAACACAATCAAGTAATTCTCCATATGAATAGACTACAAAAAAAAAATTCACTAGACATCAACTGATGCAGAAAAAGCATTCAACAAAACAACAACCATTTGTGATATTGCACAAAACTGAGAATAGCGTAAAACTTCCTCAACTTGATATAGAGTACTTATTAAAAAGATCCTACAGCTAATATTATACTTAATGGTAAAAGACTGGTGCTTTTACCCAAAGATTGGGAATAAGAGAAGGATGTTCATACTCACTACTGCAATTCAACATAGTACTGAAAGTCCTGCTGCTGCTGCTAAGTCACATTAGTCGTGTCCGACTTTGTGCGACTCCATAGACGGCAGCCCACCAGGCTTCCCTGTCCCTGGGATTCTCCAGGCAAGAACACTGGAAGTCCTAGTCATCATAATAAGGCAAAATAAACAAAAGAGAATGAAAGATATACAGATTGAATAGAAAGAATAAAGTTGAAAATTGTCCCTATTTGTAGATAAAATAACAGTCTATATTGAAAATTCCAAGAAATGCACAAAACAAATTTCTTAGAATAAATGAGTTCAGTTATAGCATTGTTGTTGTTCAATCACCCAGTCGTGTCTGACTCTTTGCAACACCATGGACTTCAGCATGCCAGGCCTCTCTGTCCCTTGCCATCTTCCAAAATATGCCCAAGTTCATGTCCATTGCATTGGTAATGCCATCCAGCCATCTCATCCTGTGACACCCTCTTCTTTTGCCCTCAATCTTTCCCAGAATCAGGGACTTTTCCAATTAGTCACCTGTTCACATCAGATAATGTGAACAAACTACTAGAGTTTCAGCTTCAGAATCAGTCCTTCCAAGGAGTATTCAGGGTTTATTTCCCTTAAGATTGACTGGTCTGATCTCCTTGCTGCCCAAGGGACTCTCAGGAGCCTTCTCCAGCACCTCAGATCAAAGGCATCAATTCTTCGGCATTCTGCCGTCTTTATGGTCCAGCTCTACCAACTGTATGTGACCACTGGGAAGACCGTAGCCTTGATTCTATGAACCTTCGTCGGCAGAGTAATGTCTCTCCTTTTCAACACATTGTCTAGGTTTGTCACAGCTTTCCTGCCAAGAAGCAATCATCTTCTGATTTCATGGCTATAGTCACCATCCACAGTCATTCTAGAGCTCAAGGAAAGGAAATATGCCACTACTTCCACCTTTTCCCCCACTATTTTCCATGAAGTATTGGGGCCAGAAGCCATGATCTTAGTTTTTTTAATACTTGGTTTTAAGCCGGTGCTTTCCCTCTCCTTCTTCACCCTCATGAAGAGGCTCTTTAGTTCCTCTTCGTGAAGGGAAGAGGAATAGTTAAAGCATATAAGGTCAAAATTTAAACAAATCAATTGTATTTCTATATACTATCAATGGATATATGGAAACTGAAATTAAATATGCAATGTCACATAAAATTGTTTAAAATAAAATAACATACTTAGATTTAAGTCTAAGTAAACAAAGAACTTGTTTGCCGAAAACTAGCCAATGTTGTTGCAAGAACTAAAAGAAGTTCTAAGGAATGGAGAGATATGCCATGTTCATGGACTGAAAATTCCTACATAGTAAAAAGATCAATTCCCCCAAATTCTTTTCAAAATCCTAATAATCATTTATGTATATCTGAAAATTATTCCAAAATGTATTAATATATAAGAAGGCAAAGGACCTAGAATAGCTAAAATAATTTTGTTAAAAAACAATAAAGTGAGAGAGGTGCTTCATCTGAAGACTTATACAGCTAAATAATAATAATAATAATAATGGAGGGATAGACACAGATCAATGGAACAGAACTGAGAATCCAGAAACAGTCCCACCTGACTGATTTTTTTTTAAAGTACAAAAATAATCTAATCCAATGCGGGAAGTATATCCTTTTAACAAATGTTGAATAATTTAATTTAAGTAAATTTGAGTAATTTAATATCTGTAAGCAAAAATTTTTTTTTAAAAAAAGATCTTAACTTCAGCCTTACACCTTGTATAACTATTGACTTGAATCACAGATTTAGGCTGAAATCCATAAACTTTTAGAAGGACACATAGTAGAAAATCTATAGGACCTAGTGCTTGGTAAGAGTTGTTAGGTATAATACCACAAGAAGGATCCATAAAATTTAAAAAATAATAATAAACTAAACTTTATTTTAAAACAAACTTTCACTTTAAGAAAATCCTTATGATTAAGATGAAAAGTATAGAGTGACTGTGATGCTCCCTTGGTCTATCCCCTTCAATCTACGAGTAAAACATTGATAATTCGACAAAAGTACCCTCTGTCCCAAACACCAGGACACCAGAGAACTGCACACAACTAAACATGTAAGGGCGAGTGGGTTGGAACATATGCTGGAGGGGTAAACCTGGGAACAGGGGAGATGGTGTATGTGACCCCAGACCCCCTGACACAAATGTTGAGCTCACAGCCCTGGGGAATCTAGTAGCATCAGGGGAGACACTGCACGTGTCACTAGCCTCCTGGCCGCAGGGACTCAGACAGCAGCGACGGTGTGGCCTGTGACCCCGTCGCTCCAGTTGTGGCAGTGTCTGCGACTATTCCTCCCAACCTACAGTGGTGGCACCCCAAAACTAGACAACCCTGGTCACAGAAGGGACACTCGCAACCCCAGCTTCCCCCTCAGTCTGCCCTTTCCCCTGTGGCAGTTGTTGTTGCCTGTTTACTCGCTCAGTCATTTCTGACTCTTTATGACACCATGATTGCGGCACACCAGGCTTCCCTGTCTTTCATCGTCTCCCAGAATTTGCTCAAACTAATGTCCATTGAGTCAGTGATGCCATCCAACCATCTCATCCCCTGTCGTCCCCTTCTCCTGTGGCGGTGGAGCCTGCTAGCCAGGAAACCCTAGACATGGTGGAAACACCCACCACTCCAGTCCCCAGAAGATGTCATCAGTTGCGCCAGCAACACCGAAGCGCCAATAATTCCAAAGGCACGGCGACAAGGGGATCAGGTGACACCTCCGACAGGTGCATGGCGGGAGGAAAGCGCCTCCTCTCAAGAGTAACCAGTGGAAGCACAGGTAGGAGAAACTAAAAACTTGTACTATAGTGACACCTACTGGAAAACAGAGAAAGGCCTCTAACTACTAACCTGTTAAACCTTTAGAATCAAGTAAAAAAAAGAAAAGCTTTGCCTCAAGAAGAAAGGTTCTCATTAGACGAAGTGTGTGTTAGTCACTCAGTTGAGTCCGATTCTTTGCAGTCCCATGGACTGTAGCCTGCCAGGCTCCTCTGTCCATGGGATTTTCCAGGCAAGAATGCTGGAGTGGGTTGACATTCCCTTCGCCAGGTGTACTAGCCAAAAGGTACTCACTATTTCAAATGCACCAACAGAGTAACATCTCATCAAGCACCATGAAGAAAGACAGTAGCACAAAAGAAAATTGTAATTCTTCAGAAATAGAATTTCAAGTCACTGAATATTGTGATCTACCGACAGAATTCAAAATAGCTGTCATACAAATTCAATGAGCTAAAAGATAATTGAGAAAGCTAGAACAATACACTTGGGAATATAATGAATAAACAAAAAGAACACTCACCAAAGAGATAAAAACTCTAAAAAGAATAAAAACGAAATTCTATGGCTGAAGAACTCAATAAACAAAATAAAGAATGAATTAGAAAGCATTAAAAATAGGGCCGACTGTGTAGAAGAGAGAATTAGTTAGCTTGAATATAGAAATCTAGAAATGAAACAGCTAGAAAAGAGAGAATTAATACCTAAAAAAAAGAGACATAAAATATTATGTATAAAGTAAGTTACAAAGCTATATTTTACAACACAGAAAATAGTCAATAATTTATAATAACTATAAATAGAGCATAAACTTTAAATTTTAAAAATAAAAATAAAAAAGGAAGAAATTCTACAAAAAATGCTGACTCTATTAGAAAGGGCAACATCAGTACATTGAGAATTATAGGAGATGAGAGAGAGAAAGAATCAAAGAGTTTATAAAGAAATAATAGCTGAGAACTTCTCAAACCTCAAGAAGGAACTGGATACAAGTTCAAGAAGCTAAGAAAACTCCTAATTATCTCAATGCAAAAAAAAAAATGTTCCAAGATACATTATGTTAAAACTCTCAGACATTAATGACAAAGAAACAATTTTAAAGGCATTGAGACAGTAATCTACAAAGGAATCCCTATTAGGCTATCAGCAGTTTTCTCAGAAGAAACACTATAAACCAGAAGAGAGTAAATTGACACACTCAACGTACTGAAAGATAACTGTCAGACAAAAATACTCTATAGAACTAAGGTATCATTTATATATGAAGGAGAAATAAAGGTTTCCCCAGGCAAACAAAAGCTATGGGGAGTTCATCAACACTTGATAAGATGTTTTGAAAGGAACTCTTCTACAGTAAACAAAAGGTGAAAGCACACAAAACTTTGAAGAAAGTGATGAATAGATAGAATCAGAACTTTACAACTTCACAACTTTATATCAGAATAAGTGTTTAAACATCTATTTATAGCATAAAGTTTAAAGGGAAAATGAAGTAAAAATAACACAATTGTTAGGAGCTTACAATATAAAAAGGACAACTTGAGACAAAAAAGCATAAACGGAAGAGGAAAAGAATAAAACTCATATAGACAAATGAAGATAAGATGCTATCAGCAAAAAATAGGACTACTTCATTTGAGATGTTTTATATGAAGCTCATGGGGACAACAAAATATAAATCGTAAATCTAGAGGAGAGTCACAAACATAAAGGAGAGGAAACTGAGATCAATCTTGTAAAAAACATCAAACTGATAGTTTTGATGACAGAAACACAATGAAGAAGAAACAATGGAGATACAGAGGAATGAGAAAAAGGTAAAATGGCAGAACCAAGTTCTCATGATAAGTAAATTAATTAATCAACCAAAAGACAAAGAATAGCTGGGTTGATTAAAAAAAAAGACCCAATTATATGCTGCCTACCAAAGACTCACCTCCACTCTAAAGAAAAAAATAAGCTGAAAGTGAAGGGATGGAAAATGATACTTCAAGCAAATGACACACAAAACAAAGTGGGTGTAGCCACATGCATTTCAGGAAAAAATATACTTCAAGTCAAAAAAGGTAACAAGAGACAAAAATAGATATTATATAATGATAAAGGGGACAATTCATCAAGAAGACATCATAGTTATTCATATGCCTTATTAAGGAGCACCAAAATATACAAAGCAATTATTAACAGACCTAAAGTGAGAAACTGACAGCAATATGATAATAGTAGGAATTTTAACACCTCCTTTACATCAATTGATAGGTTATTCAGACCATAAGTCAATAAGGAAGCAGTGCCCTTAGATGAAACCTTAGACTGGATGAACTTAACAGATTTATACAGAACATTCCATACAAATACAGTAGAATACATATTCTGCTTAAGTACACATGGAACATTCTCAAGGATAGATCATATGTTGAGAAACAAACAAATCTCAGTAAATAAGATTAAAATAATTTCAAAGATCTTTTCAGATGACAATGGTATGACCTAGATATCAACTACAAGAAGAAAGCTGGAGAATCAAAAATATGTGTATAATAAACAACATGCTACTAAACAACTATTGGATCAGTGAAAAACATCAAGGGAAGAATCAAAAACTGAAAGGGAAGGAGCTCTTCCTAACTCATTTTATGACGTCAACATTACCCTGTATCAAAATCAGACAAAGACAACTCAAAAAAAAAAAAAAAGAAGCAAAGAAAATTACACCAGATGTTTCTGATGAATGTAGATGCAAAAATCCTCAACAAATATTAGCAAACTAAAAACAGCAATATATTAAAAAGATCATACACCACGAACAAGTAGGATTTATTCCAGGGAAGCAAGGATGGTTCAATATTTGTAAATCAATCAACATGATACCCACATTAACAAAATGAAAGATAAAAATTGTATAATTATGTCAATAGATACCAAAAAAAGCATTTGATAAGATTTAGCACTTATTTAAAATAAAAAGAAAAAAATAATGCTGAATAAAACAGTTATAGGAGGAACATACCTCAATATAATACAGGCCAGATACAAGAAAATCACAGCTGACACCATACTCAATTGTGAAAAACCTAAATATATCCCTTTAATATCAGCAACAAGACAAGAATACTTATTCAATATAGTACTGGAAGTCTTAGCCAGGGAAATTAGGCAAGAAAAAGTAATAAAAGGCACTCAAATTGGAAAAATGGAAGCAAAATTTTCACTATTTTTGGATGACATACTTATATATATATAAACTCTAAACTTTCTACCAAAATACTATTAGAAATATAACAAGCAAGGATAGTTGTGGAGCAAAAAAATCAATACATAAAAATCCACTGTGTTTCTATATACTAACAGTGAACAAGCAGAAAGAGAAATTAAAAAACAATCTCATTTACAATCATAAAAAAAAGAATAAAATATGTAGGAATAAATTTCGCTAAGGAAGTGAAAGACTTATACACCGAAAACTATGAAACACTGTTGAAAGAAACTGGAGAGGAAGTGGAAATATATTTTGTGCTTATGGATTGGAAGAATTAGCATGGTTAACATTCATATTACCTAAAGTAAAATAAACATTCAGTGCAATCCCTATCAAAATCTCAATAACAATTTTCATAGAAATAGAACAAAAGGCATTCTATAATTTATATGGAACTACAAAGGATTCTGAATGGTCAAAGCAACCCTGATAATAAAGAACAATGCTGGAACTATCACACTCACTGATTTCAAAATATATGATAAAACTATAGTAATTAAAACAACATTTTATCAGCAGAAAAATAGATACATAGATCAACGAAGCAGAATTTAGAGACCAGAAATAAACCCACACACATATATGGATAATTAAATTATGATAAAGGAGCAAAGGAAACACAAGGAAGAGAGGATAGTGTATTCAATAAATGGCGCTGGGAAAACTGGATAGCCACATGCAAAAGAGTGAAGCTAGACCACCATCTCTTACAATACACAAAAATCAACTCAAAATTTGTTATAGACTTGAATAATATGACTTGAAACCAGAAATCTATAAGTAAACATAGGCAGTACATTCTTTGACATCAGCCTTAGAAATATCTTTCTGGATATTTCTCTTCAAGTTTGGAAAGAAAATAAAAATAAACAAATAGGACTACATCAAACTAAAGCTTCTGTAAAACAAAGGAAACAACAAAATGAAAAGACAGCACACTGAATGGAAGAAGATATTTGCAAACCGTTTATCTGGTAAGGGGTAAATATTCAAAAATAAAAAGAACTCACACAACTTCACACCAAAAAGCAAACTTTATTGAAAAAATTGCAGAGAAGCTGAACACAAATTGCTACAAAGGAGACATAGAGACTGAAACAGGCACATGCAAAGATGTTCAGCACCATTAATTATTACAGAAATGCAAATCAAAACCACAAAATATCATTTTGCATTTATTAGAATGGCTATTATCATAAAAAGAAAATAAAACATGTTGGAGAAGATGTAGAGAAAGGGATCTGTTGTATATCATTGATGGGAATATGAATTAATGCAGTCATTGGAAAACAGTAGGGAGATTTCTCAAAAAAAATATTATCCAGCTATTCCACTTCTTGATATTTATAAAAAAAAATTGAAAAGACACATGCACCTCTATATTCATTACAGTGTGACTTACAGTAGACAAGATATGGAAAGGACTTAAGTACCCATCTACAATGAATGAATAAAAATTCTGTGGGGTGGGTGTGTGTGTGTGTGTGTGTGTGTGTGCTGTGCTTAGTCACTCAGTTGTGTCTGACTCTTTGCAACACCCTGTAGCCCACCAGGTTCCCCTGTCCATGTGGACTCTCCACGCAAGAATACTGTAATGGATTTTCATGCCCTCCTCCAGGGGATCTTCCCAATCCAGGGATTGAACCCAAGTTTCCCACATTGTAGGCAAATTATTTACCATCTGAGCCACCAGGGAAGCCCAAACATACTGGAGTGGGTAGCCTATCCCTTCTCCAGGGGATCTTTCCCACCCAGGAATCAAGCTGGGATCTCCTGCATTGCAGGTGGATTCTTTACCTGCTAAGCTACCAGAGAAGCACATAAAATATAATGAAATTCTATCATACAGTCACAACATAGATGAAATCTTGGCATTTGCAACAACATAGGTGGGCCTAGACTAGTACTATGCTAGGTGAAATAAGTCATACAGAAAAAGACAAATATCACATGGTTTCAGTCATAGGTGGAATACAAGAAAAAAAAAAGCTAAATAAAAAACAAATATATAGATACAGAGAACAGAATAGTGGTTGCCAGAAGGGAAGAGATGTGGTAGGAGGGCAAAAGAAATAACTGGGGTCAACTTCACGCTGATGGATGGAAATTAAACCTTTGATGATAAACACACTGTAGTGTACAGAGAGGTCAAAATATAATATTTATACATAAAACATACAATATTATAAGCCAATTAAGAAAACAGGAACAAAAAGAAAGAAAAATAGATTCTGGGAGAAACTTTGGCAAACCACATTATCTGATAAAGGATTCATATCTAGAAAATACTTTTAAAAATTCAAACTTAACAGTAAGAAAAGCAAACAAGTTCAACTAGAAAATGGGCAAAAGACATGAAGAGACATTTCACTGAAGATATTACAAGGGTGGTAAACAAGTACATGAAAAGACAGCCAACATTGTTAGTCATTAGGAAAACACCAATCAAAATCACAATGAATGGAATGTGAAATGAAAATAACTATACGCCTATTAGAAGAGCAAGAATAAAGACTAGTGACAATACAAAATGCTGTGAGGATATAGAGAAACCGGATTTCTCATACAGTATTATTGGGATGTAATACAATACAGCCACACTGTAAAACAGTTTGGAAGTGTCTTTAAAAAAAAAAAAAAAAACACAGACATTTACCACATGACCTCACAATCACATTTCTGATTAATTATTCCAGAAAAATGAAACTAAGTCACCCCAAAAGCCTGGACATGATTATTCATAGTGGCTATATTTGTAATAGCCCAGAATTGGCAATAACTGAAATGTCCTAAAATAGCTGAATGGTTAAACAAATTATAGTGTAACATTCCATGACTAGTCAGCACTAAAAGGAAGAAACTATTGATACAAGAAGTAATTTAGATCCATCTCAAGGGCATTACACTGTGTAAATAAAAGTCATCTTCAAAAGGATACATCCTACATGAGTCTATGTGTATGACATTTTCGAACTGATAAAATAATAGCAATGAAGAGCAATTCAGTGGTGGTTCAAATTTTAGAGGTGACTGAGAGACTGGTGGTGATAGGCAATGAGGCCATCTGAAAGATAAAGATGATCTTACTAAACTTGCTGTGCATGAGAGTGCTCTATTTGGAAATACAGTCCTTCTGAACAATGCTTGAGTAATACACTCAATTCATAGGATTTGATTGGCTCTAACAGAAGTGGGTCTATTAGTTCAAAGTCATGGAATGTCAGCATTCTGGTTTGTTCCAATTCTAAGCTGGTTTGCCTGCTATTATAATTTTGATACAGTTTCAAACAGTGGAATTTTTAAAGGTCTGGAATTAAAACAAATACAGATAACATTATCAACAACAACAGAATAATGATTTTCTTCCTTATCTTTCATTTAATAAGGTGCAAAAAAGGGAAGTTTTTTTAGTATCATATATTTGATTCTAAGCACCAAGAGAATTTATAGTTAAGACTGACTTGAAAACTTGTCAGTTTCAAAAGACGGGGGTGAGAAAAAATGAGTGTGGGACAGCTAAGTGTTGCTATTTTAATATACCATCTTACTTAACACTGAGATGAGGAAGAACTACCTATCAACATAGCAGTTAACTGGAAGCAAACCAGTGTGATGGTTGAGTTTATGTGTCAAATTGAAAAGGCTACAGTATACAGATATTTGTTAAAATACCACTCTGAATGTCACTGTGAAGGTATTCTTTAGATGTAGGTGCATACTCAGTCACTTCAGTTGTGTCTGACTCTTTGTGACCCCATGAACTTAGCCTGCCAGGCTCCTCTGTCCATGGGATTCTTCAGGCAAGAATACTGGAGTGGAATACCACGCCCTCCTCCAGGAGATCCTCCCGATTGCAGGCAGATTCTTTACCGACTGAGTCACCAGGGAAATCCCTCTTTAGATGTGATTAACATTTAAATCAGTGGACTCTGAGTAAAGCAGATAACTCTCCATAATGTGGGTAGGCCACATTCAATCGAAGGGCTTAAAACCAAACAGGCTGAAGTTCCCTGAAGAAGAGGGAATTCTATCTCTAGACTGTCTACAGATACAAGCTGCAGCATCAAACTTCCCTGGGTCTCAGCCTGCCTGCCTACCCTGCAGATTTTGAACTTCCCAGTTTCATGAAAAACTGATGCTTTCAAATTGTGGTGCTGGAAAAGACTCTTGAGAATCCCTTGGACTGCAAGGAGAACAAATCAGTCAATCCTAAAGGAAATTAACCCTGAATATTCACTGGAAGGACTGATGCTGAAGCTGAATTTCCAATACTTTGGACATCTGATGTGAAGAGTCTATTTAGCGGAAAAGCCCCTGATGCTGGGAAAGATTGAAGGCAAAAGGAGAAGGGGAAGACAGAAGACAAGATGGTTAGATAGCATCACCAATTCAATGGACATGAATTTGAGCAAATTCCAGGAGATAGTGGAGGACAGAAGAGCCCGCCGTGCTGCAGTCCATGGGGTCGCAAAGAGTTGGACATGACAATGACTGAACAGCAGTGTCATGATAGGATAAGTCAGTTCCTTAAAATAAATCTCTCTGTCTCTGTTTCTATCTCTTTCTAGCTCCCAACAACCTTGTAGGCCAGTTTAAACATTCTGGGGGAAGTTTTCAGCACTGATGTTCCAAAGTGCTCATGCCATCATTGTCTATAATAGACAAGTCAGGTAAAACATAGTCTGTCAACAATATAATGAATGAATATATAATTGTATATTTATGCTATACAATGCTAAAAAGATACAAAATGAAGGGAAGACAATTGCACAATAACACAGAGGACTCAAAATATTAAAATAAATATTATATTTAATGAGTATTAAATAAATATTAATTAATTTACAAATACTAAATTAAAATCTTTAAAAGTCCAGATACAAAAAAGGATACTATATAATTACACATTGTATTATGGATATAGCTTTGTATGCATATATAGAAAAGCAAGTCATTTTTTCAGTGGATCCAAAACTAAGTAGTAAAAATATAAAGAAAATGAGGAAAGGATGACCTCACAGTGGTACTTTATGGAAGAAGATTGGGGTTGTCACTAAGAAAGTGCTTCCAGGAGGCTTCTGGGTTACTGGCAATCTTCTGTTTCTTAGTCTGGGTGAAATCAAGTAGATGTTAACTTTAAGACTTCTCTAAGTTGCACTTTCATATTCTATGCACTTTCTGAAGATTTATTGTGAAAAGTATGTCTTCTTGTCAGAACAAAAAAAAAAATGTCATGAATATGTGTGGCTTTTATAAATTTGGAAAAGTATTTCATATAGTCCTTTAAAGTTATTCCACTTTAAACCTGTCTGGTTTTCTCTAATATTAGGCAAAGAAATTATGATTTATTTCACTGTAAATATCATAATATTAATACAAGAGCAATAAACATCCCAATGATTGCTAGAAGTGGTCATGGAATGAAATGACAATAAGAATAGATTTTTTTTTTAAATGAAGTATAGTTGATTTACAATGTTGTGTTAATTTCTACTGTACAGCAAAATGATTCAGTTATATATACATATATTCTTTTTGTTATGAAAATTATATTAGTAGCACAAATTCATCAAAATAAAAAATTACCAATTCTGGTAAAGATGGCTTCATAAATTAACACAATGAGGTATCTTCCCTGCTATTTTTATATTATATGGTAGATAATATTTATATATTATTTACCAATTACAGGAAAATATGATAAAGGGATAAAATTCACAAGTCTTATAGGGTTTGAAAATAATTATTTTCAAAATAATTATATTCTTTACAACCATTAACTCAAAAAAAGATCATAGACCTAAGTGTAAAACTGTAAAGGTCCTAAAACATAACATAGGAGAAAACCTAAATGAACTTGGGTATCAGTTCAGTTCAGTTCAGTAGCTCAGTCATGTCTGACTCTTTGCGACCCCATGAACTGCAGCATGCCAGGCCTCCCTGTCCACCACCAACTTCTGGAGTCCACCCAAACCCATGTCCATCAAGTCGGTGATGCCATCCAACCATCTCATCCTCTGTCGTCCCCTTCTCCTCCTGCCCTCAATCTTTCCCAGCATTAGGGTCTTTTCCAATGAGTCAGCTCTTCGCATCAGGTGGCCAAAGTATCGGAGTTTCAGCTTCAACATCATCCCTTCCAATGAACACCCAGGACTGATCTCCTTTAGGATGGACTGGTTGGATCTCCTTGCAGTCCAAGGGACTCTCAAGAGTCTTCTCCAATACCACGATTCAAAAGCATCAATTCTTCAGCATTTAGCTTTCTTTATAGTCCAACTCTCTCATCCATACATGACCACTGAAAAACCATCGCCTCGACTAGATGGACCTTTGTTGGCAAAGTAATGTCTCTGCTTTTTAATGTGCTGTCTAGGTTGGTCGTAACTTTCCTTCCAAGGAGGAAGTGTCTTTTAATTCCATGGCTGCAATCACCATCTGCAGTGATTTTGGAGCCCAGAAAAATAAAGTCAGCCACTGTTTCCCTATCTATCTGCCATGAAGTGATGGGACCAGATGCCATGATCTTAGTTTTCTGAATGTTGAGCTTTAAGCCAACTTTTTCACTCTCCTCTTTCACATCCATCAAGAGGCTCTTTAGTTCTTCATCGCTTTCTGCCATAACGGTGTCATCTGCATATCTGAGGTTATCAGATGCCATGATCTTAGTTTTCTGAATGTTGAGCTTTAAGCCAACTTTTTCACTCTCCTCTTTCACTTTCATCAAGAGGCTCTTTAATTCTTCTTCACTTTCTGCCATAAGGGTGGTGTTATCTGCATATCTGACATTATTGATATTTCTCCTGGCAATCTTGATTCCAGCTTGTGTTTCCTCCAGCCCAGCGTTTCTCATGATGTACTCTGCATAGAAGTTAAATAAGCAGGGTGACAATATATAACCTTGATGTGCTCCTTATCCTATTTGGAAACAGTCTGTTGGTCCATGTCCAGTTCTAACTGTTGCTTCCTGACCTGCATACACGTTTCTCAAGAGGCAGGTTCAGGTGGTCTGGTATGCCCATCTCTTTCAGAATTTTCCACAGTTTATTGTGATCCACACAGTCAAAGGCTTTGGCATGGCAATGTCTTTTTAGCCCCAACAAAAAACACACAATTCACAACGGAAATAACTGATAAGCTGGACTTCAATAAAACTAAAAATGTCTAGTCTGTGAAAGACAATGTCAAGACAATGAGAAGACAAGCCACAGACTGGGATAAGATATTTGCAAAAGACATATCTGTTAAAGCACTATTATCCAAAACATACAAAGAACTTTCAAAACTCAACAATAACAACAAAAACCTGATAAAAATGAGCCAAAGACATTAACAGACACCTCATCAAAGAAGACAAACAGATGGCAAATGAAAAGGTACAGCACATCATATATCACCAGAGAAATGTAGATTAAAGCAACAATGAGACACCACCACACACCTACTAGAGTGGCCAAAGTCTGGAACACTGACAATACTAAATGCTTGTGAGGATATTTGGCAGCAAAACCTCTTGTTCATTTACCAGTGGGAATGTATACACAATGGTACAGTCACTTTGGAAGAAATTTGGGGATTTTCTTACAAAAGCAAATATATTCTTACTGTATGATCCAGAAATCATGCAGCTTGGTATTTACCCAAAGGAACCAAAAACATATCCAAACAAAAAGTTGAATATGGATGCTTATAGCAGCTTTATTTAAAGTACCCAAACTTGAAAACACCAAGATGTTCCCTAGTAGGAGAATAAATAGACTGTGGATATCCAGATAATGGAATATTATTCAGCACTAATATTAAATGAGCAATTAAGCCATGACAAAACATGGAGAAATCTTAAACACATGTTACTAGGTAAAAGAAGACCATCTCAAAAAAGGCTCCATTCTGTATAATTACATGGATATGACACTCTGGGCAAGGCAAAACTATGAAAACAATTACAAAAAATTGGAAGTTGTCAGGGGAGAACTGAATAGTCAGGGCACAGAGGATTTTTACCATATGATATTTAAAATGATAACTACATGTCATTATATATTTGTCTAAACTCATAAAATGTACAATACCAAGAGTGAGCCCTATGGCAGACTATGAACTTTGGGTGAGTTTAATGTGCCAATGTAGGTTTATCCTTGCCAAAAGACATATGTGCCATTCAAGTGAGTGATGTAAGTACTGGGGGAGGCTACCCATGTTTGGGGGCAGGGTATTTGTGGAAAATCTATATTTTCCATTAAATTTTTTGTAATCCTATGACTGCTCTAGTAAAGTCTTGAAAAGTATATACAGTTTACCCTTGAATAATGTGAAGGGTAAAGAGCACTGATACATGAGTTGGGGAAAATCCATATATAGTTTTACAATCAGTCCTTCATTTCTGAGGTTCCACACCACAGGGACTCAGTCACTATACTACAGGGTGGTACTATAGTATTTATTGAAAAATCTGCATAAAAGTCAACCTGCACAGTTCAAACCCTTGTTGTTGAAGGGTTAAATGTATACAAGATGTAAATCTCTGAAATTAAAATCAGAAACTTTTAGGAAACAAAATGAGATAATACAAAATAATAAAATAGAATGCTAGCTTCAGAGTATAAGATTTTACATTCCTAATAGTCAAATAGAAAATATTAAATTTAACATTTATTTTTAAATAGATGTACTTGAGGTTCCTAAGGTTCTTCTGGAAGTAGGTGAGGAAAAGTCTTAAGTAAATAATGATAGAAATATTTATTACTTTCTCCAGAACCCAGGCAAATATATGAGGATATGTAGTTAATATGTACTCACTACAAGTGAAAAGAATAAAAATTTCAGTACTTTAAAGTTAATTTTCACTCACATATATCCTCAGACTTCTCATTCTGGCTTCAGAACTTAGGTAAAATTTTCAGAGCCTTTCTACAGGAAAGGTTTGAAGAGCTTTGAAAGGACCCCTGCAACATCCCTCCAGCCCACAGTTCTTACTTCTTTGTTTACCATCAAGGCCGGCGGTATTTAATAGATAAGATGAGAAAAAAAAAAAAAAAAAAAAAGGTAAGTGAAGGAATATTAGATTTTTACATAGAGTTATTCAAAAGGGAAATTACTTTTGTTTTTCCTCTCTTTTATTTAATAGTCTTTTCCTGAATGCATACCCTGTAGCTGTCATTATGTAAACAACATAAAGATTTAAGTTAGTTCTTGACCAAAAGAAGCTCACCATTGATTTATATTTTTATTTAAACAACCACAAAATGTCAGTTTCTTTTAAAAGTAAGAAATATCCATTCAACTCTGACAAATAAAAGTATTCTAATGGAGACATCATGGAAAGATATTTACAGTCAACCATTAAATTAATTATACCCCCACTAATTTGGGCTACTCAGTCATTTGGCAGGTAAATGCAGAGACTGAATTGATGATGAGGAAGATCTATTTTGTAGTATAGAATTCAAATAAAACACTTTTGTTTTGACTGCAATCTGCTTTATTATTTTACTTGAAAAGCACCAGATGGTATATATTTTTAGAAATGTATCCGATAACAAAGTGTTTCTCAACCTGGGGTATTTTTTACCACACCCCTCTACCCTGGTCCACAAAGCATTTAGCAACCTCTGAAGAAATTTTAGTTATCAGAATTACTGGCATCTACTGGTGCTATTGGCATCTAGTGAGTAGAGGCCTGGGTTGCTGCTAAACAATTTCCAATGCTAGGGCAGTCTCTACAACAAAGAACTACCTGGTCCAACATATTAAAAGTGTCTAGGTTACATCACTGTTGCACATCTGAAATTAACACAGTAATGCAAATCAACTATACTTCAATTAAGGAAAAAAAAAAAAGCGCCTAGGTTGAGAAAACTTTCTATAAAGTAATATTCCTCTTCCCCAGCCCCCGACATGAAAAATTTCCCAGGGTTTGTAGTTTCTCATACCAAGCTGCAAACCACCACAAGCCAACTTAAGTTGGCAAGGTACTCCAAACTTAAACCAGCTTAATTCAAATAGAGACTCAATTATGACCCAAGTTAGAGAGCTATTATTCATATGTTCTGTTTAAAAGGGCTTTCTGACCCACTCTTTCAGGAATTACAAAGTGCTCTCATTAGCTCTTATTAGCTCCTGGAACCAGTCTTGCCTAAAATTTCTCATGCCTACACAGTAATAGAATGAAAAATGTGTCTGTGTTTACTCACTATCAGAAAACAAATGTGAATTTATATATATATATTTTCAAAATAACAATTTCATTTACACTGTCAATTAAAAATCAAGCTTATTGAACTAAAGAAGCATAAGAAGCTTTCTTATTACATTACACTTCCAACATACCTGAATTCAGAGGACATGAAAAACAGGGGTGTAAATCGGTCCAGTTAAAGGCATAATTAATTAGCAAAGTCAGGCTCCACCTTCCTCCTTCCATATTGGTTATAGAGTTTCCTCAAATATTAGAAGTCGAGCTTTGAAAGTAAAGTAAGGGTACCTGATTCAACAGGAAATAGTAGGAATTCAGGCCAATGTCAGTTCCTAAAAACTCTTACCAAATGAATATCCTACTACACCCACTCCAACCCTCACCATCTAAAATGTTTCAACAATGCTGTTATCTATTCTGATACTTAAAAAAAAAAAATCTGCTAAATAACTGTGTGCTAACTGAACTTAGAGGTGTTTTTTTTTTCTGTCATTTGTTGCTGTTTGTTTTTGTTCTGGTTTTTTCTCAGGAGCTAAGACTTAATAGGATTTAAGTCTCTGCTTGAAAGAAATCTAGGACCTCAAAAGCAAATACTAGAAACCCTGTAAAATCCTCTCAGATATACGCCCATAGAAAGGTTGAGGAGAAAATAAAGTAATAAGTGCTTTTAAAATAATTTTCCTCCCTGGTCAAAAGGACAGCAAAAGTACAGGCAGGAATAAGGTTGCCCACTCAGTATTCTTGCACTCACTTTAAATAATAGTGATGCACGTGTGAATAAGCTTTCCAGCAGTCCATGAATCTATAAACTAGGCTCGGGTTACTGTTTCCCTTGGATGGGTTTTGTGAGATTTAAGTGCTTTGTGATCAGTGACTGGAAGTTGAGCTAAAAACTAGAAATAAAGAAAATAAACTCTTTGCCTTTAAACAGAAGTGGTCCCAGTTTCCTTTCACAACCCTGAAGGGTTGTTGTACATATTAAAACTGCTGCATAGCTCCATCTCTGGTCACAGATACCCCCTTCTCCTCCCTGCCACCCCCGCCCCGAAGATGTCAGATCTCTGGGAAACAGCGGTTACAAAAGGATGCTTTTCAAAGCTTGTACTAGAAAAGCTGGCACCCCCATCCCTGCATAAAATAACACGAAACTGAGTCACAATGCTGGAAGCCGCCGTGCCTTCTGCTTCTCTTCGATGGAATCCAGATATTTTCTGTGAAAATACTAAATAATATTGCGAAGTTTTGCTCCTATATACGACATGCCGATTCTTCTAACCCTCGGTTTGCCCTAGATAATTTCAGGTTTTATCTATCAGTGTACCATGCGGGAGAGAAAAACGCAGTTAACGAGATGACAGTGTTACCTAGGTATTTGGCATCAATATTAGCAAGAGTCTGTCATTTGACGATTATTTCCCTAGCATACCAGACGGTAAAGAAAATGTTTTCATTCATCCGCAAATGACTAACATTTATTGATGTTTCAAAATACGGTTGAATACTGTTGCACTCTCAATTTCCGAGACGGATTTGAGAGTTAAGCTTGAATATTAATAACATCAGTTAACTCCCGCGACAAGCGTCTCCGGGGGCTTTGGAGTGTCGCTTCAGCAGGGAGGTGATGCTGGCTAGAGGCTCTTCGATCAGTCAGTCTGGGTGGTCACAGGTGATGGGAATCCTTCCCTTTCCCCATATATCCTCATGCACTGCGATAAAAATCACCGCGAGCACCGCTACCGCCAAGCAAAACGACTCCCTGCCTGCCTCGTAAAGAGCTCAGTCTGGGGAGGCAGCCGGATGCTGACCCCTGCAGAGATTATTGCTTCTGTGCGCTTTGCCAGAGGACCCTGCTAGCATTATGGAAAACGAGTTAGGGATGTGTGAGGTTTTTGCTGTGTTTATTTCCTCCGAGGGAGGAAAGGCTGGGGCCAGGCGAAGAAAATCTTCAAAGACTGCTTACGGCGGGGGATTGGGCTGGAGGAAGGGGAGGGGTAACCATATTTTTTAATTACTTTGTTTCTCTTTTTCACTTCCCTGTCCTGCTTCCCAAACTCCTCTCTGAACAAGATTGATTGGCGTAACTGCTATTGACTCTAGCCTCGGTTCTCGCATTGATCTGCAAACGGCCCAGAATAGCTAAAGGATCGCCAGCCTGGACAGGAGTTCAAGAAGGGAAGAAGTAAAAAAGGGTAGGGGGTGGCCCCAGGCCCAGCACCCCCAGTGTGCCTCGGTCCTGGACGGCGGCTCGCAGCGGCGGGGCAAGCCGCTAAGGGGATGCGGCGGCAGAAGAAGAGAGGGTAACCGCTCTGCCCGCCCGAAGTCGGAAGCCTGTCCAACCCCGCTTAGAGGCTGTTAAATGATAGAAACCTGTGACTCGTTAAACCCCGTAACTTTGCCCTACCTAGATTCGAATGCGCTGATCATTCCGCCTGATAGGCTCAAATGGGTTAAGCTCCCTCTTACATAACAGGACTGCCTGGCTGTACACAATTAAAATACTTGATTGCGGTCTCTTCCCGACTCCATCCCGTCAAGACCCACCCTGTCCCTCCCAGCGCGCCTGCGTGCCGCACGCGCAGAGGCCCCTTGTGCACGATTCGCGCGCACTACAGGAACGCGCTTACTACACACACAGATCCGCGCACTCTCCGCTCTGACCGTACCTCGCGCGCGCACACACACACACACACACACAATTTAGTGTCAACGTGCATGGGGTCGGGGGTGGAGGGGGACCGCTTTCCAGTCCTTAGCGACTGACCCAATAGACACGCCAGCTGCTCTACCCTAGGCTTTGCAAGGGCCCCCATCCTCCTGTCCCCTCAAAAAAACAAAAACAAAAAACCACAACCAGTATCCCCCGCCACCGTCCCTACCTATTTCTGAAAAGAGGTAAAGAGTCAACTATAGGGCGGTCGCTCGGGCAAGATGGGAAAAAAAAAAAAAAATAAACAACAAAACCTCGCAGTCCCTGGCGTCATGATGGCGCCTACCACAACTTGGAGGACTTAAAAGTTACGGTGCCTCAAGAGGTAAAACACACCGGAGAGGGAAAGCAAAGCACCACTCTGCTATCTTCCCCTCAGCCCCGACGCGGAGACTTTTCTAGCAAAGCATCACTCTAGTGCGTACGACAGGAAGGGAGGGAAGCGTTCTGTCTCCGACGTCTCTCTCTCTCTCTTTTTTTCTCTCAGTTTGTATAATAATATACCTCTTCCCGATTTTTTTTTTCCTCAGTCCCCGGGCGGGGTTGCTAAGGAAACGGCCGCTTGGCAACGCGCGCGAGCCCGGGGGCCGCCGGCCGCCGCTGCGCTCCGCGCTGCTTCGGCTGCTGTTGCTGCCGCGATTGCAGCCTCCGCCGCCGATCGCCCTGCCTCCGCCGTCGCCGCGCCTCCTCCCTCACTCGCCGGCGCGCTCCACTCCTCGCTAGATAGTGCGCGAGCCGCCGGAGAATTAGACACACTCCGGACTCGGCCAAAAGCAACCGAGAGGAGGTGTAGAGTGGTGCTAGGGGGTGGGAGGGGAGGGAGGGAGGGAAAGGAAAGAGGAGGAGGGGAGGCAAGGAAGAGAGAAACAACATCCAACAACTAGGTGGGGGGGAGAAAGAAAAGAAACCCACCCACCCACCAAATTAAAAATAATAAAAAAAAGAAGAAGAGGAAAGGGGGGGAAAAAAGAAGAGGGGGAAAAAAAAATCCTGTGGCGCGCCGCCTGGTTCCTGGGAAGACTCGCCAGCACCAGGGGGTGGGGGAGTGCGAGCTGAAAGCTGCTGGAGAGTGAGCGGCCCTAGCAGGGATGGACATGATGCTGTTGGTGCAGGGCGCTTGTTGCTCGAACCAGTGGCTGGCGGCGGTGCTCCTCAGCCTGTGCTGCCTGCTGCCCTCCTGCCTCCCGGCTGGAACGAGCGTGGACTTCCCCTGGGCGGCTGTGGACAACATGATGGTCAGAAAAGGGGACACGGCGGTGCTTAGGTAGGAGGAACGTCGTGCTTTTCGTACTTGTCTCAGTCTGTCTGTCTGTCTCTCCACCTTTCTTGCGGTCTTGTTAGACCAAGTCAAGAGGCTGGTGGTGATCACTATCAAAAGACCGCATTTCAGGAAGTCCGGGTGCTGATGCTGCCTGGAGCCCTGGCCCCTTTCCTCCCGGGCAGGTGGCAAACAGAACTGGTGATGCTTAAGCACTTTGCCGGAACGCCAAGTAGCTCTGAGATGAGTGAAGTGGGAGGTTTAGGAGGGGCCGGTGCCACTTGGAAACTCAGTTCACAAGGTCTCTGTTTTACTGTCCTGGGGTACCCTTGGAGAGTCTGACAAGTTTATCAGGTTTGTTTCTATTTTGCTGTAACCTAAGCGACTTTTTCCAACTGCTGGCTCCCTGCTCCCATGTATTTTCCCTCTCTCGGACACTTAGGCTCAATTTCTCCCTTTTCAGTTTTCTTTCTTGCCTCTTATCGCTTTGTCCCCCCACCCCTTTTTCCTTCCTTCGTTTTGTTTTTATTTTTTTTCCCAATTCCCCTCTTTCTTACTCTGTTCCATCCATTACCTCTTTTTATTGCTTTTCTGTTTTTCCTCCCATTCTTTTTTCACCTCATGTTTCCTTTTTCATCTCCACCACTCTAATTTTTTATCCTTTAATATACTTTCCTCCATTCTTTACCTTTCTCCATCCTTCGTTTTTCTTTCTCATTAATATCCCTGTTTTCCGAGCTTGACTTCTGTCTCTCTCTCTTTAGACTCACATTTCCCGTCTCTTTCCCCATATTGTTTCCCATCCCTGTCACACACACATGTGTGCTCCCTCTAACCCCTTACAGTTCCATTTTCTCACCCTCACAAATCTCTTTTTCATAACCACACTCCCTCACATATTCTCTGTTTCACATTCTCATACGTGCTGGCACTTCCATACTCTCCCTAACAACCCACTTTCACATTCAGATTCTCTTTTACTCTCTAAAAAGGCACCCGCTCGCTCCTTCACTGTTCCACACATTGTCACTCACACATGTATACACACAGTCTCTCCCTCTCTCTGCTACTCTCTATCCCCTCATCTTTCCCTTTTCCTCCCTTTTTGCATTTTAAGTCTTGCTGCTTTTTCTCACTCTCCCTTCTTCCCTTCTTTTCCCCAAGCTTGGGCATTGAAATGTTTTGTCACTAATGAACATCCATAGCCTAATTATGTCTATAAACAACATTGCTCTAAGAGTCTGGTAACGTTTTTTCTACTGTGAAAATATAAATTGATGATCAGCAGTGCTTAGATCTAAACAAGGCTAAGCACCCTTATTCCTTCATTTCCCATCACCCTCCCATCTGCCTGTGACACCCCCACCTGACATAGATCCTGAAATCTCCCTGAAAGATATCCTTTCTCTCCACTGGGTGGTAGTTGGCTTATAAGTATAGATTGCAGAAAACCAGTGTATGTGGCACGTTTAAGGTGAAACAGAGAGGGCTATGTTTTATTTGAAACATGCAATATATTATAAATTTGATGATCTTGGATCTGGGTGTGGTAAACGATTTACACCTTCTTAAACATGCTTATGAGTCCAAATTCATGCAGAATACTATTACAGTTTCTAATAGACACTAGTTTAGAGTGTATATCTCTACTGTAAACAATGCCACTGGATGTGTACAAAAGTAACAGCTTGTTGTCACTTAGTAAAATACCTTTCATTACTGGTAAAAGAGATGAACTTTTGGTCACACTGAGGATATAAATTAAACCCTTGGTGATATTCTTTATATTAAGTTTGTTTTGGAAGTTTAAACAACAGTGGTAAGGATGAAGTGCTGTCTTTAGAGCCTGCAAACACATATCATGGGAACTGCAATCTATATGATTGTAGTAACATATTGCCTGTTTGTAATGAGCATTAACATTTTCAGTCTAAAGGATTTGATAGACTGCTTGTCACTTGATGGTATATCTTGGGTGTTTTGTTTATAAAGAATCATCATCATAGTGAATACTATGGCTCATTAAAATAGCTGAACTCAGGGTCTGCTTCTAGGAGACCTATGTTTAGTTCACTCACTGCTGCCAATAGTGAAGCTTCTCTAACTAGCAGCAGCAATATTTTTCCAGTTTCGTTGGTTTGGTGCAGTCCTTGTTTACCTGTGTTCACCTACCTCATCCATTTATACACTGTATCCTGAATTTTGTCATATCTTAGTTTAGAGAACTTTTGACTTTTAAACTTTTTAAAGAGAACAGTATCTCTATTTCTTTTGAATAATGTTTCTTACCAATTACAGTTTTCTTAAGAAATAAACAGAATCTTTCTCTTTTTTTTTGTCATATGAAACAAATCTGAGCCGCATTACTCAAAGTAATTAGTTTACAGTAATTCTAGAATCCTCTAGGGACTGATTCCATTTTTTTTTTTTTTATCCTTTTACATTGACCATAGGTTTTAAACACTTTGAACATCTATAGTTACAAGAACCCCTCTCTCTCTTAAAAAAATTTAAATTGCATCAGTTATTTTTCCTGCAACTGGTATTTACTCTGTTCATAGACCAGTACAGAAGAGCTTGAGGACTATTTGAGTGTAAGTCAGGTGAGATATTTTTCATCAAAAGTAATGTCATAGAGTTATAGTTTATGTTTTCACTTTGAATACTTGGAATTGTATTTGGTGTAATTATCTAATTCATTAGAAAACAAAACAAACAAAACAAAATCTTCCCTCATGCAAACACGCCTTCACATCAAAGTACACAAATCTAGTACTCGAGTACACTTTACTGAATTATGTGATATTGTTTATTAAGCTTTACATGTTATACTTTATTTTTAATGTAACATATTCCTCCAAGTGTCTCATAAAAAGCAAATAGTGTCATAACAGTTATCAAATAACTTTAAGTGCTAAAGGCCTGAAAGTGCAAATGTGTCAATCAGTGACTCTGTTGCTTGTGGTTACACTAATGAAATAGAAGTTTAAAGGTCAAATGATACATTTCTATCTCCTAAATGCCAGAGTGTCTGTTTTAGAGAAAAGAATCAAGAAAAGCAAACCTTTTCTTACATTTTGTTATCATACAAAAGGGAATCCATTCTGTGATCCACCAACTATACCTATCATTCTATAAATCACCTTCTCTGTTTGGATTAGAAGACTTATAATGAAGTTCCATTTAATAATTTCAACATTCTTATCATTTTAACTTT